TAACACAAGGCACGTACTGCACGATGCAACATCAACACAAGCACAGGGATGATGTCATCTTTGAGGGGAAACATAATGCAGCACCACCTGCCAGTCCGCGTCATTCGGCGTACAGCAAGATAAACCATTTCCAGACGCCTGTCACCGGGTCAAAAACAAAACAAAGATAAAGAGCTACAAATGTAAAATCGCTCTGGAATTTGTTCACAACATCTACAAAAGGAAGAAGTGAGTGGGAGGTGTAGCCCTTTAACACAGTGCGCAAGGGTTCAAAAGTAATAGGACGCTTGGCTACTACAGTAAACATTTATTTGGCAGCTGTGAGCTGCTGCAAGGTTGGTTCAGGCACGCATGTGGCTCAGAGTGGGTTGAGAATCAGCACTTAGAGTTGTCTCAGTATAAGGAGTAAATGGGTGACGAAGTGATGAAGATTATAATGAGGTAAAAAAAAAAAAAGCACGCATCAGAGATAAAGTACATTTAAAAAAAAAATACCCAGGTGAGCAAGGTTGTGTAGCCCAAAAACCGCTTCATGTCTGCAAAGCAAGTGTTTCCTTGTCAGTGATGAAGAGAAGACGTCATGACCAAAACCACAAGCCGCTAACCCCCAACAACGGAAGAGCCAGGCTGCAAAAACAACCTGTCAGGGTTCTGCAGCAGAAATGAGGAAAATAAAAACTTACAATGGACAATAATGTTTTACTAGATCTGAATCCAATAGGTGGAACGTATTTGTGACAAAGAAATTAAATATATGTGAATAAACAAATGTATTTTTGGTCACAGTGTGTGTGTGTGTGTGGGAGTCCCAGTATGTTTTCTGTACTGTCAAATTAATCGGTGGCATCTGCTGGGGCTGATTTTTCAACAAGCAGGCAAGAAATCAAGTTGTGCAGGAAGAAGCCTGAGGATTTGAATGTCTCTCTCAGACTCTCTGTTTATTTGATGCACAATTACTCCTGTGATGTTTCATATATCCAAATGAGTGCAAACAAGTCATTCTTAAGACCAGCACACAGGATACATCTGCTGTGTGCACTTGGAGATCTGCACGTTTTCCCAAACCAAAGCAGAAAAGTCAAGTGGTTTAAAACTAGGTAGACATCTCCACAAACCAAATGGTGCATTAAATGTATTTACTTTGTCATCACAATGAAACAGAAAAGAAATAAATACTCAGCCAAGCTAATTTACATGTCAACGTGACTTTTCAGTGCTGGTCATCTGTGGCTTCTGTGAAAGGCAGGCAAATCACCACGGCTTTCATAATAATAAGGTTTAATACCATCACTAGTGAGAGAAAAACTTTCCCTGGCTCCCAGCACCGAGTGCACAGGAGCTTTTATTCAGCCTGAATTCATTTGAAATCATTTCTGCCTTGATGGAAGAAAAGCAGAGCCACATCAGTGACTGACGTTTGGTGGTTCATAAAAATCATTTATGCACCACTACAGCCCATCCTCTGATGTGTCTGGATTTAGAATTACTAACACGTACACCCACTTTAACACCTTCAAATTAATGTCTCCTGTCTAAAGGCGTTTCATTGTGGCAGGTCAGAAAACACCAAACACGACTGTTGGTGTACCTAAGAACAAAGCGTACTCATTATGAACATTATTCATGATTAATTCAGACAGTGACTGACTTGTAGCTGAAAATGCCGATTAAAAATATGTGCTTTCATTTAGCATTAAGACGTTTTAGGACGTTTAGCCACTTGGGGAAGTGCGACAAGCTGTAAACGGAGCACTGACATACTGTATGTACCGCCATTAAAGCACTGACAAAATCATAGTTAACGGTTGCCTGTTCATTCATCCAGCAGACACAGAGTAAATTTATTATGCATTTCAAGTTGAGTTTGTCAGCTTTTGACACCAAAAAAGCAAGTTGTGGGCAGCAAAATCAAAACTGTGACCTGAAAGATGCTGAAAAGCCCTGCAGAGCTGAGGAGAGCTGCAGAGTGGAGCAGTTATTCTCTGTGGGTGCGAGTGGCATTTCACATCCAACAGTCATATTTTGATCTTTTGAAGAATGTGAAAATATGTATTACTGCAACTTTAAAGTATAAAATCGACCATTTTAGACACGTTTATGAAAATTCAGGGTGAAGACGACAGAGGTGTTGTGGAGGGCTGTGCTGAATCAGCCACAGTAAAAGGTGAAAATGTGCTACCTAGTGCAACACGACTGAACAACAGTCATTTGAAATACTTAATCAGAAGACAACACCACAAGTTCTACTCTCCTTCTATTCTGCATGGCCATGACAAAATAACATGTACATTTTCTAGTTTTGTGATCAAAGCTATGTACAAATGGTTTGCTATCCAAGCCACACTAGCTAGAAGATGATGGCACAATTTGGATCGGTGCACAGAGTAAGTCACAGGGGCATACACATTTTTTTATGAAGGAGAGAGAAAGAGAGAGCATGTTAGGCCGAGCAGACGCTTTATGGATTCGGCCCAATTTTATCCCGGCGCCTGTTTTATGACCTGAATGGCCGATTTAAACGTCTAGTGTGAGTTCACACATGCTATATGATCAATACAGGGTAGGTCTACAACTGATGAAGATGGATTTTGAGAACTTATTTCACCTGAGACCAGACAACATAAGAGTTTGGACTGAGCGTTCCTATCTCGTAGTGACAGTAGGACCAGATCAATTAAACAACATATGACGTCAACAGATGTATTCCAGAGTTGGACTATATTTACACTCAGCAGCAGAGTAAATACCGTCTATTAAAAAACTGAAGCAGCTGTAAAATCACAGGAAACAGGACCCTGCTGGCAAAAACTTCACCTGCAGTGATCAAGTTCCTGTAGTATGCCTGTCACCATGAGATATCACCATAAAAAGACCGTGTAACAGAACCCACAGTCAGCAGGCCCTCTTCAAATTCTTGTTGCATGGCAAAGCAGCGGACATGGCAGCACGACAGCTTTGCTACCTCAGAGCTCAAACTGCAACAGGCTGCGTTTTTGTGCCGATGATGAGAAATAAGAATAGAATCTAACAAAATTCAAAGGCTGTGATTTGAGCTGCCAACACGTACAGAAGAGTGATTTTCAGTTATTCAACCGGACCCAGCAAAGGCCTTCGAGTTATTAAGGTCAACCTATAAATAAGCTCCAATATTCACTCAACTAGAATGACTCATGTTGGCAACGACTTCACACATGACATAATATAAAAGGTAGAAACCATCACTGCTACAACTGTAGAAGAGGAATAACAATGACAAAACCCCCCAGGATGGAAAGCTACTGTGGAAACCTAATTACAGTGGCTGACATGTTGACAGCCGGCACGTTAATGACAACAACTGTTCAGTAGAGGGCTCTCTGTCACAAGAAAACCTCTCTGCACATGATGAACAGTGAACCAAACAGTATCTGAAAAGTTTCCACGCACTTCTCTGTGATTAGAGGATATTCAGATGCTGAGCCTGATGGGATTGTTACAGGACATGCTGCCAACTTCAACGTATGCCTTACTCCAGCATTTGAAGTCGAACACACACGTGGGACAGCAGTCAGAAAAAACATGTTACTTGACGTTTACTTTACCTGTTTTCAAATGAATAAAACGCTCTGGCTGTTTACATAAACCGCAGTTATGATGAATTTGAAGCAGTCACATCAATATTGTCATATCCAAACACCATTACTATGGTTACCAAGGTCACTAGAGGCTCCAGCGCTCCAAATATAAAATGGTGCAGCTGCTGATCTCACAGCAGCCTGTTAGTAATGGCTCACCTCTATTACAGCAGGTGCCCTCGCTGGTGAGGCAGGAGCCAGAGCAACAAGGTGTCGCACATAAAATAGGTCTCCACAATAAAATATAACAACCTAAACCAAAATCAATGTTTGGGAAGTCTTTTATGCCTCGACATGCTCCATCTTGCCCGACATAAATGACAAAGTGTCACCATTAATAACCTGCTAAACAGAAATCTGACCAATGAACCTGCAGAAAGTTTAATTCAGTTTATTGTGCACACTGTCTTTTAGTAATCACATTCTAGATCACTGTAAGAATAATAGTGAAAAATAACATTGCTTTCCAAAGTGATGGTGGAATAAAACCAAATGATCTACTTATTGATCCTGACAGAAAGTACCCAACTCAAATGATCTTATTTATCAAGCAAAATAGAAATTACTCTGCCTCGAACACTAGAACACTGTGAAAGCAAACATCTTAGGAGGACTCCTGATAGAAGAGCCAGAAAACATTTTGCAAATACTAATTTATGTTGGAAGTTTCATTGGGAAAATGGAAAATTGGAAATCTCTCATGTTGTACTGAGAACACCTGGAGGCAAACAGACGAGCGATGGAGAAACGTACCGTCCGACACATTCAGGAGTGAAATATTTGAATTACTTGATTAAGAGTTTGAAGTTTCCACGAGACTTTACTGGATATACTAAAGATATACTGCAGTCACTGCAGGTAGCTGACTGAACCAGCTCGATAAGGACCCTCCGACTCATGGCCGGTGGTAAAGAACCTAATGGAAAGAACCTGAACAACCTTCAGCAAGAGACGACTGAAGTCACTTCACTCAGAGCTGCTCAGTTTGGCAGGCAGCAACAGAAGCTGGCTCTTACTCGAGAGGCATTTGACTTGAGAACATGCAGCTATGGCTGATTGTATCTTTGAGGGTCTGATCTTGTTAACTTATTGCATACATTCATGCTGTTGTGTTGTTTTTATCAACCAGGAGGAAAAGAAGAAAATTACATCAATGTGGGAACAAATTTAAAACACAGTATGCATACTAAGCAAGCAAACACCATTTGAGATTTACACAACACAACTCCAACTAAATTGCCTTTTGCTTATTGGGAATCTAATTTACATCAATTTAAAGCTTGTCTGCTGACACCGAGTGAACACAGAGTACACTGACTGGTAAAATGTGACTGAGTAACTGCAGAAAATATGAAACTTTATATATATATATATATGGGTACTTACAAACTGCCTCTTCTTGGAAGACTCAGCTCTTTCTGCAAAGGAAGAGAGAAGAATTATAATTAATTTTAACATAACCCTTAAATAAATATGCTGCATCTTGTGCACATTTTAGCAAAGTGGATCAATTTGCCAGATTGAGGAAAGTTACTGTTATACCAGGCCAGATACCTGGTATGAATATTCACTGGATTTAAAAAAAACAAACCCTGTATAGCCTGAGAAACACTAAAGTAAACCCACATTAACATTAAAGACCATAGAAAAGTGAAAAAGAAGGACAAGACTGAGGTTTGGTTACAGAAACATGCCAACATCCCTGAATTCTGCTGTTGCAGCAGCAGCTTTACAGCTCCACAAACAGCCACCATATGGAAGGAGACCACAGAAGTGATTTCACAGGTGGGAAACTGTTACATCCCATCACAGACAGCATGTGGAAGAGCTGAACCAAGTGAAATGAAGGCCACGCAACGACCTCACTCTCTCACTCCATACTGACAACTCTGATAAAAGGCATAAAAACACAAAAGCTGAGCACGGGGGACACATACCTGTGAGAACAAATGTCCAGAGTTTACTTTACACCTGAACAAGGTGTAAACTGAGTTGACAATAAGTCAGGTAAATGCTCTAGTTCTGTTGAGTGAATGAAATCTGATGTTCTTTAATAATAATAACACTGTGTGTGCTGGTGAAGCTGGTGAAGCCGACTGAAGGCAGAGTTGCACAGAGGTCAGGGTTTACTGAAACAAACCTGCAAAAGCACCAACATTCTTATGGGATTATACTTTCTCACAGGCATCTTACTTAAAAGGACAAAACCACAGGCACACATTTGCAGTATTGCAACTTGCAAAGCTGCAATACTAATACTGCATCTTTGACTCTGACTGTTAGCACGGTGTTTAAGAGTAGGTACTTTATTGATCCCACAGTGGGGAAATGAAGGTCTTCAATCTAAAAAAGGTGGATATTGTTTACTGTTGAGCAACATAGAGGGAACCAGACAGCACTCAGAGAGTTCAAACCTCCACCAAGGCAACTAAAATCAAACATTACCACAGTTCAACTCTCTAATACGACTGCCTGACCACGAAAACCTGCTGTCCAAGAAAAACAGACATGAGCAATTAATAACTGTGACAAACAAGTAAATAAATGCCCCGTGCAGACAGACATAGTAATGTGCACTTACAGTCCATAGAGGCACACATCTCACTGCATTTGGCTGCATCCAAGTCGACTCTACAGTCAGTTTTCCACCACACTTCCTGTTATACTTATTACAGGGCATTCACACATACTGTATAGAGCAAGTCACGGCTGTCGCTGGGTTATAAATATCACTGCAGCCTCAAAAATCCAGAGATTCAAACGGTGAATCCCGATTCCCTGTTTTAGCGTTCTGGTCCTCCGTGATGAAGAACGTCCCAAAGCTCTTATTTCTGCTCTGAGGAGTGAGGTGGCTGCCTGGAGGAGCCATAACAGAGGATAAACAAATGCATCCTCTGTGGAAGTCTGTTAAGGATTGACACGTCCTTTATTGAAAATCAGTTTGGAATTAGACGCTTCACATGAAGGACTGGAGGAAAGGACGTATGTCAAAGTGTTTCCTCGGTTCCTCTCCTCAAAGTTTTTCCTGGCAAGGCAAATACACAAGTGACGGAAACGTGGATGCAGTTAGAGGAAGTGTGATTCACCCAGAGAGTTCGCTACTGGGCACATCTAGTGACAACAAATGTGCACAGGGAGAACTTGGCACGAGTTTGGTGTTTTAGCCCTTAACATCACCAGCGATGTGTGAAGCTACAGACGTGCTGTTCAGCTTCTTTACAGACATTAAATGACAGATTTCATTAAAACGCTCCACAGAACATATTTCTCTGAACTCTGCCAGTAAAATGAAAAGTAAAACACATCCGACCACAAATGACGCTGCTGCTGCTGCTGCAGCATCTGTTGAGATGCCAGTGCCACATGGCTGCAGCAGTGACAGACAAGCTCACTGTGCACAGATCACTTTATCCTCAGACTTAACAGGACTGCTTATTTAACTACAGTAGTTCCTTGTTTTAACAGCCTCACAGCATCAAACTGTAAACAGCGTATCAATGGTGTGAGACAAATACAAAAGTCTCTGGCTCCAATTATTTGAAATCCTCGTGCTGTAAACGAGGACTGGTAAGTAACCAGGCTCTGGATCAGTTTTGTTTTGTGACTAATTTGATCAGTGACTCTTTGTTGTCTATTGACAACCTGGTAAGGGTGAGGTCTTTTGTCTGAAACCATGTAGGACGCTGGGTTGATGTGTATTGGCTGCTCCAGTCAGCAGAAAAAGTGCTAAGCCCCACTCTCCCTTTGCTATCAATTAGGGATTAATGTCTGGCTTCCCCTGCTGTCGACATGAGACCAAGGGCAGAGAGTTTCCTTGGGAGACATGACCGCAGCTCACACAACACTAATTACCAGCAGGGAATGACTTACGCTGATGGGATCTCCACCAATCACAGCTCACCAAATCGCCGCTTGAAGTCTATAATAACGCAAAGAGACTGAGAGCAAAAGTAATAAATCTATGTACTTATGTAAAAGCAATTCATGCCTCAGGAAACTATTTACATAAGGTGAAATAAATGTCTTGTGATATTTACGCTTTTGATGTTTGATACCTTTCTGAGTAAGCAAAGCCTGTGAAGAGAAAGAGGTCCATTACAAGCAGAGTCAAAGTGCACTGCGTGACATGGTTTTAATGAAACAGAGTGGTAGCACTGCCTCCAACTAATGTTTGGTCTGTCTTTGTCTCAAAATGAGCTTTCTAGCATAAATAAAGAGCCACTGGAACAGCAAACAGCTAATGGGCTCTGTCAAAGGATTATGCAAATTGAAGACACCAGAAACCGAGTCTGGAGAAACTAATCAAGGTTTACTTAAAAGAATTCAACATATAACATTTAGTTATTCTATCTCACTGCTACCTTGCTCCTGTAATCTTCAGACACTTTAGGTTTATATTTATTATTTTGTATAAAAATTATTTTCCACTGTTACTGTGAGGGTCTGCCATTTCCAAATTGCCTTCACACCGAACGCGTGTGTAACTCATCACACTCACCCAAATTCTGAAGGCATTTCTCAAACCCTCAGACTTTTCCAACAAATAACGAAGGCGCCACACCATTGGTTTGGTATCATAGCGGCTCGGCCACCGACTGAGCTCGACTTTCACAAAAAACATGAGACGACGTCATTTCCTGTCGCCATCTTTGCTCAACTGAAAAGAAGCTGGTTTACCTGAGAAAATGACAAAAATGATTTTTTTTTCCTGCACTGGAACAGATTTATGATTCTGCATCATTAGACAATTTAGGGAACACCGATGTATTTGTGAATTTAATCAGAGCAAATGAGAAGTGCATTTTCAAACTTTGATTATTCTGGCAGCGATTCCGTAATACTGATAGACTGACCACATATTCTCAGTCAGTACTGAAGCTTTGCAGGGAGGAATGGCTGAATAAAGCCCAGCCATAGATGGAAATGTGCAGGCAACAGGCTGCACACAACAGCTACTGTGTCCTGCTGCAGATGGAGGCTTTCACGGCACAATGGAACGGGCCTATTATCGCCAGACTCCTTTGATGAAATCATGTGACCTTCTGCTCTATTCCCGACAAAGTAGCTGCAGTAATATTAAACCATGCTCACTTTTATCTCCAGTAGGATGGAACTTAACAAGGACTTAAACTTGTGGTACTTCCAACCCTTGATGTACTCAGAGTCTTGGCCCAACAATGTGTCTGACTCACACTGCTTCAACACCAACAGCGCCACTATCGGGCAGGAGAAATTTATTCAGTGAAAGATTCTATTACACAACAGGCAGGTCAATTTCCAAACATGTCCATTTTTTAATTTGATGGCACTTTAAACCTCTGTGGATTGTAATACATGTTGTGTAGAATACAACTTGAGTGATGCAGTTTTCCTTTCAACTAAACAATGTTACTGGGTTCATGCTGGTTCAGAATATTTTCAAAGAATTCAACAATTTAAACTAAATTTGCACTGATCCTTTTTATTTAAATCCATAATTTAGATGATATCTAGCAAACCTGGCGACGAGCTCTGTCAACAAAGGCCCAATGCTTCATTAATAATTCTGCCTAATGTGTTTAGGATTTTCCTGCATCTTAAGACCAAACACATCCTTGGTTTTACTGAGGGCTGCTACTGAAAACCCCTGTTCTCACATTAAGTCATCAAATCAACTCAGTAGCCTCCTTTAATGTGGATTTCCCCAACGCCCCCTTTTCCTTTTTGCCAGTGGATGCTAGTTCAGCTTCTGTTGTGACCAGTCACCAGATCTACGTGACCACTTTGTAATCAGAGGCTGTTGTGATTCAGTGCCGGCAACCCTCATATGACACTCGGCAAATTGCAGCCTCGGGCAACATATAACTTTAATAGCGAGGGAGATTGTAATCCAACACGTGTGGACACAACAATGTTTAATGTCTGGGGTCCACAGTCTCTACAACACTGCTATTAGGAAACCTGCACGAGTGGCTCAAGGACCAGTGGGAGTAAGCCGTCATCTTCAACCACTGCTCTAGAGCCTAGTTATCAGGTGCACCTTCTGAAAACTAAAGACAGCCACAGCAACTTTATAAGAGCTGTATTTTGGACTGACTGAACAGCTAAATGTCACATAAAACTACACTTTCATCCTGTGTCTCAAAAGAATCTTAAAGGCTGCAATGATCCTAACATCCAAACACAGAGAGGGTAAAAGAGAAGACGCCAAAATTAGAGGTTTCGTTAAGGTTTTTAATTGGTGTTCATGTTCTAATTTAAACTTTTGATGCTCTACAAGGTCTAATACAGAAATGATAACAGGATAACGTGCATGTTGATGAAACTTAGAGGATCCATCACATCATGTTAATGACAGGGTGAAACTTGTAGGCGTTGGTTTTATAATGAATGAATGCAGGTATTCATTTCTTTGTCATTGTGATTGATGCATTTTTTA